ACTTGCACTTTTAATTTCAAGATTGTAGTTGTTTGACTTATTTCTCATTTTAAATTAATGACTTATTGACTATATTTATATTTCGAGATGACTAGTGTATATGAGAAATATTATGAATTTATTACTAAGTATCTTGAAAAAGGAAAATGCTTCAATGCAATGAATGGGTAGACATCATAGGATATTATGTGTGTGTTATATATATATATATATTAAAAAAATCTATTTTTAATATTTATAAATAGACCCCTATAACTTTTAATATTTGTAAATACACCCCCATAACTTTTAATATTTATAAATATGACCTCGTATCCGTATCATACTTTTTTTTTTTGTTTTGACGTATCCCCGTACCCGTTTCTGCGTTTCCGCATACCGGTATCGGTGCTAAATAATTCTACAATTTAGGGTTTTGAATTTCCTACAACTTTTTTTGGAAAAAAATTCTACAATTTTTAGAAAATCAGTTTCATAGTGTTTCTTTCCCATCTAACTAAATAAAAGGAGACCTAGCGCAGCCTTCCTTCCGACTGCTGCTGCGAGCAAGGAGCTGGTCTACCACACGTCCACACCTAGCATGACGGACGGTGGCTCAGGAACTGTGATGGACTGCTCCAGTACATTCTGATCGTGGGATCGGAGAAAAATCAATCATTGAGCCATTAGTTGTTTCAATAATTCATAACAATCATCTCATCGGGCCTCCTGCAAAGTTTCGTTTCCTTCGGCGCTAGCTAGTCCGAAGTACTTAGCCGCACTAACCGGCGAAGTACTTCAGTAGTTCAGTATTCAAACTTAATGATTCACTAATTTTCCATTCAAACGTCATTTGTCCCTCTAGTTGGGGTTTTAATTCTTCCGCCGATATGATAGGTTGGACGGTTTTTCAATTCAAGGTTTTCTCCCGTGACGAGTTTTTTGGTGCAAACAAGAAACATGTACAACAATAGTGAAAGGATGACATCTTTGAAAAAAGGTCATGGGCGAAGATTGGGGTTAAAAGCTGGAACAAATATGGATTTAAGGTCATCTATAATTGGTGACAAAAGTGGAAGCTTGACAAAGAACGTGATGAATAAGAGGCAGAGTGAGGAAGAAACTACAGTACTGTCGGCTCATCCTCGATCCTCCTGAACCGCCGTCGGAGTATCATAATAAATAGGAGGTTTCGGAACGTGGATGACAGTGTTGCTATGGAAGGAGCAAGAGTTTTATTTTATTGTTTTTTTTTTTGCTTTTTAATTTCTTTGAGCATACTATTTGCTTTCCCTTTTGATATGTTTTTGCTGTAAGACTGTGGATTTGGATGTGAGTGATGAAAGGATTGCATTAACTGTTTTTGGCTCATTTGCGCCCAGTAGTGGATCAACGAGTTATATTGCTTCTGTAGAGGTGATAAACCCTGAGTCAGGTTCAAGGGTCAGCGGTTGCCAAAATACTTTTTGTCTTTTTACCTACTATCTTAATGATATGTTATAATTCAAGCCTTTTTCTTCCACACAAAAAAGAAAATCATTTCCATAAGATTCTCTAGAAAGCAACATTAGAGTTGTGACTTCATTCATAATCGCCAACCGCCCCTAGAAATAGATGTGATAAGCCTGCTCTGAATAACCTTTGTTTTAAAAAAAAATTGTGTAATATAAATACATGGCTCAAATGATTGTAATTCTTTATAAATATAGCCCAACACTCTTGTAAAGTAAAAGAGATTCTGTTTTTTTTAGAAGAAGGAGGTTAGATTGATAAAATAGCATTCACACAGGGTTTGAAATAACAAAAGAACCACATGTAACCGTACGTCCTTGGATCAGACTCAGAGTTAATCACCTTTGACAAAGTAATATATCTCGTTGATCCTAACTTGGACATAATTGAGCCAACGACGATTACCGCAAACCTCTCATCATCCATTCCTGTTTTTTTTTTTGCCGAGGAACATTTGTCGTATTTTATTAAAATAAAATATGATACATCAGGAGAGGGCGACTGGACCGAAACCTCCCCGGAAAGGCATACCCTTACCGAAAAATTACAAGTGAATGAAAATAAAGAGAAATTGGGGGGACCGAACTTGACCTCTCATCACTCATTCCTAATGCAAGAGCCTTACAACATAAAATAAAACAAAAACAAAAAACAACAGTCTCAATGTGGAAATTAAAATGCATAAATGCAATAAAATAAAAACCAAATTTTGTCTTCATTAGCAAAAATACCACTCGCATAACCGACGAGTCTAGACCCTGAATCCGTCGTCTCCCCGTTTTTTGCTTTATCCAAATCCATATTCTCGTCAACAGGGTCCTTTTCTGGCTGCTCTTCCCAAATCCTTCTACGCTTCTGGTCCATGACGCACACAGAGGTATACATGATGGACAGGGACACTCAAAGTCTTAACATTCGTATATATGGTACTCTATACATACTTGGTCATTTTTATGGAAGCATCAACCCTGATTTATTAACTTAAGGTGACTCAGCCCAATAATAGGAAAAGACGGAGTACATACCTCGTTCTAAATAGGCATGGCAATGGGTGGAGGCGGGTACTGCAAGACCCGGACCCGCCCCGTGACTTCACTAGGTGGACTCGTCCCGCCTCGTGACCCGCATGGGTCAAAACCTTTTGACCCATGACCCGCCCCATGTGGGGCGGGTCCGCCACGCCGTAACCTAATTAGCTAGTATGAATTTCTATTTGTGTGAAATTTTCATCACTTGAATCCACATAAAGCTTATCTAAACAAATAATATATTAAATCAAAGTCACAATATGCTAAAAATTTCAGAATTTAAAAAAATCACTTAGACTGAAATATTTAATCTATTTATTTTAATTAAAATGCTATATATGTATATGTATATATATATGTATATATAGAGAGAGAATTTGGATCAAATAAAAAAAATCTTAACGTGTAAAACGAGAATTAATCTCAGCCGTCCAAAGTGTCGATCTAATGCACAATAACCCATATCTGATGCACTTTCGAATAAACCTTATTTGATGCACTTTTCGAAAAGTGCATCAAATAAGGTCTATATATTTGAAAGTGCATCAGATATGGGTTATTGTGCATCAGATCGACACTTTGGACGGCTGAGATTAATTCTCATTTTACACGTTAAGATGTCTGCTCAGGTCCCTCTGGAGGGACGGGAGGGACCGTCCGAACTTTACTGTTTGGGGCGGTTCCCAGTGGAATTTTTTAATGAAATTTTTTAAGCATGTTCCTCATCAAGTCTAGTTTGTCCATACCAAATGTCAGCTCAAAATTCGACCGGGAAGGCAGTTAAATAAATTCTTGAAACTTACTGCACTTTATATATGCGTAGAATGTGCGGTAAGCTTCAAGAATTTATTTGACTGCCTTCCCGGTCTAATTTTGAGCTGAAATTTGGTATGGACAAACTAGACTTGATCAGGAACATGCTCAAAAAATTTCATCAAAAATTTACACCGGGAACCGCACCAAACAGTAAAGTTCGGACGGTCCCTCCCGTCCCTCCGGAGGGACCTGATCTTTTCTGTATATATATATATATATATATATATATATATATATATATATATATATATATATATATATATATATATATATATATAGAGTGGTCTTCTTGTCAGGCCGGCCTGATGGGATGCTCCGTCCGGCCGAGCCCGTTTGGGCACCTTCCTGGTGGAATTTTTTGATGAAATTTTTTGAGCATGTTCCTCATCAAGTCTAGTTTGTCCATACCAAATTTCAGCTCAAAATTCGATAGGGAAGGCATTCAAATCATTTTTTGAAGTTGACTGCGTCAAAGTATACATATAAAACAGCAGTCAACTTCAAAAAATGATTTGAATGCCTTCCCGATCGAATTTTGAGCTGAAATTTGGTATGGACAAACTAGACTTAATGAGGAACATGCTCAAAAAAATTCATCAAAAACTTCCACCAGGAGGGTGCCCAAACGGGCTCGGCCGGACGGAGCATCCCGTCAGGCCGGCCTGACATGAAGATTTGTCTATATATATATATATATATATATATATATATATAGGAAAACTTTCCGGTAAGGTATACCTTACCGGAGCCGCCGTGCGGCCTCCACGTTTTGAGGGCCTTCCTGGTGTAATTTTCTGATGAAATGTTTTGAGCATGTTCGTCATCAAGTCTAGTACATCCATACCAAATTTAAGCAAAAAATTCAATCGGGAAGGCAGCCAAACGATTTTTGGAAGATAACTACGTTTTAAATGTATACAAAGGGTGCAGTTATCTTCCAAAAATCATTTTACTGCCTTCCCGATTGCATTTTTTTTCTGAAATTTGGTATGGATGTACTAGACTTGATGAAGAACATGCTCAAAAAATTTCATCGAAAAATTCCACCGGGAAGTCCCTCAAAACGTGGAGTCCGCACGAAGTTCCCTATATATATATATATATATATATATATATATAAGATATTGACAATTCATCGTTCATCTCATTCAAACTTAGATATGGAGTACTTCGTAATATATTATAAGGCGAACGAATTTGTGATTTATTATATAACACATATGTATGTAGAAGTATATTTGTAATATAATTTAAAAAAATTGATCTATACTTATATATTGAGCGGGGCGGGGTAGGACGGGCCAGGGCGGCACGGGTAACACTAATATCCGGACCCGCCCCATTGTATAGGCGGGGCGGGGCAGACCCGCCCCATTTGCAAGACGGGGCTGGCCGGACCCGCCCCAAATGTCATGGGTCAGGTCGGATCATTGTGGGACGTTTTTTTTACATGCCTAGTTCTAAATACTTTTACATGCCTACTTCTGCTTCTCCAGGGATCAGAAGTATAAGCTGGAGTGTTTGGATGAAAGTGGAGAAGTGATTGTGATACTCAAATTTATTCAAAGTGGGACTGACCAGCTTCTAAAAACTGATGATGCTTAAAAAAAAACAAGCAGAAACACATTCACTTCAAAACAGTGAAACACCCCTATTAAGGCTATTAAATGCCCCTATGCACCCCTAAAGAAAGCTCTAACTTGTGAGAATAAAGACGGAGTAAAATTTGTAGGTTCCTTGCTCAGCCTTCTGGCGCACGTCGCTCGCAGCTCTGCATCTGAACTTCTAACCTGTGAATCTACGATACTGCCCGGCCCCTTCAGCGCTCTCAGCCCTTCTCCTACTCCGTACTGGGTACTCCTCATCTCTACTTTTAATTCTTTGATACACGGATTTCCAGCTACGACTTTTTGATACACGGATTTTAGGTCCTTCAGCCAAAGGCCTCAAAAATGTATAAAATATTATACCAACTACTTGGTTAATCAATTTTCTTAATTTAATTTAGTATTTTATTTATCTTTCTCTATTTATCTTTCTGGAGTATTACATTTTGGACATATCAATTGAAGCGGTGTAAGAATGGTATATATCAAGTTATCAACTTTTGTCTCAACTCTGTAAGAATAATTAGCATTCTTAAAAAAGAAACTTGGGTGCAATCAACACGATTCACAATATCCCTTATCTGTAGGAAAACTAAGTCTAGACCTACATTATAAGTGTACATTATAGGAAGACATTCCTATCCAGCACACATTCATTGGATGACGATAGCATGCCTTACTTTTCATCCTATTATACTGTGAAATAAATCCTTTTATATGATCGCATTCCTATGTAGAATGTGTATTATATAAAATGTCTCCCTAGAATGTACAGTTTTATTGTTTCCCCATACTTGCTATTGTAGGAAATGGTTTTTCTCCTAGATGTTGGTAAGATATTTGGCATCCATTCATTTTATTCAAAACTAGCTCTTCTTGTGCATAAAGGCTAGTCCGATGCAATGGATATGAACCATTTTTTTTTCTTTTTATATTTACTTTTTGTAAATTTAGAGACTAATTGAGCATTCAACAAGATCTCATTTGCTCTTCTTTCTTTTGCAGTTTGAATATTAATTCCGCTGCTGCTTCCATCGTCGGATTTTTTAGCAATGGTATATCATACATTCTTACCCATCTTTTTTTCCAAATGTATGCAAAATACGATACAATTAGTTATGTTCGCTTGTGCTAAGGATGCATTTTAGTTGGTATATCACATACACTTTTACCTGGCGTGAGATTGATGATAAAGAAAATTGTGTGGTTAATATTTAATTATAGGTCATAGAAATCGTATGAACCACATCTTACTTTCCCTTAATAGGAAATGGAGTAAATTTGGGATTTACCTGAACGGGTGTGTAGATTATTTAGGAACCGATAAATTTGATTCATATTGCTAGTGATATAATTGATATTAGAATGTGTAATTCATATTTGTTTAGAAGTTTGTGTAATTGTGCGCATGCCCATTCATATGTGGCAATCTTCACCGTAATGGGAAGTCAGAGAAATACACTATGTTGTAGCTCATGGTAGCATGATTTTTTTAATTATTTAAATGGATATTTGAAAACACTTTCCTAGGCTTTAGTTTGGTCTCTTCCAATGCGTTTTATGTTTTCAGACCCTCAAAATGGCATATAACTAAAAGATGATTTCCATCTTGACTGACTTTTTGATTTTTTATTCTGTTTATTCAAAATTTCTAATAGCAATAAGGCATTAGGGCTTGTCCAAAGTCCAAACACAAAAAATGGATTAGTAGCTTTGATATGTCAGAACAAGAGTGGATGCTTTAGGAGCAAGGAAATTCAACTATACAAGTACAAAACCCGATGTACACTGTCCACGCGTAATATTTTTTTGATGTAATTCTTGGTCTCAGACTAGATGACTCGTTATGACTCGTTCTGGGAATTACAATGGGGCATTTAGTAATTACCGTGACTTCTAATTGTTATGTCCAAATCAAGGTAGTCAAAGTTGTGAGGTGTGCTCAAAGCGCTAGGGCTCTCCGGTGCATGGTGCAAAAAAAGTGCTCGCCTGACTCATATCAGGCACATTGTTAAGAAAAATTACATACACTATCCTACAATTATCAAATATGATGTATATAACACCATATTGAACCAAATGCATTAAAAAGTCATGTTTCTCAAAGACAAATCATGATTCACCAAAGTAATGGCTCACAAAAACAAAAAAAATTAAGATTTCATAGCTTAAATAATAAAACTAAAAATAAAACATAGTTAGATTCTGGCCCAATTCTCTTTGTTAAACTCTCAAGGACTATTCGTCATTAAAAGAGGAGTCAATTTTTATCCAAAAATCCGATTCATATTCTACCAAAGCAAATTGAGTATATGTAGTGCAAGTTTGATGGAGGTAGAAGTAGTAGTAACAATGGGATTACTCTTAATGGTAGGGAGATACCAGTGTGATATGTTCCGTTACTTGGGCTTCATAATTCAAGGATGTCGAATTAGATGGGGATGTATTCCATAGAATCATAGCATGGTGGGTAGAAAGGAAGAGGGGGTCAGAATTTCTATGTGATCGAGGTATGCTGACTAGACTGAAAGGTAAATTTTATCGGATAGCGATTAGGCCTGCATTAATGTATGACGTAGAGTGTTGGGCGGTGAAACAATGTCACATTTAAAAGATGAGTGTTGCAAATATGCGTATGTTGCGTTAGATGTGTGGACATACCAAAAAAGACTGCTTGAGGAATGAGATAATCGAACAAAAGGTGAGAGTAACACCTATAGAAGATAAGATGTGTGTGTTAGACAAGTTGAGAGATGGGGAGAAGAGGCGTGGAGGAGGGGGAGAGAAAGACCCAAACATACTTGGATTAGAGGAATCAAAATTGATATCCTTCTTCTTGGGTTGGATGAGAGTATGACTTTGGAGAGAGTAAAGTGGAGGGCGCATATTCGTGTGAATGATTGATCTCTTTTCCCTCTTTTCTCTCTCGTTTTCTTTTATCTCTCATCTTTCTTATGTTTCTATGTTCTTGTGTTATTTTGATCTTTTATCTTTTTGTCTTTTATCTTTCTAAACTTCTTTTATTTTTCTTATGCTCTTATGTTGTTTTTATCTTATATTTATCTTTACTTTATCTATTTTATCTTAACTTATCTTTTTATGTTTCTTATATTTCTTCTCTTTTTGGCTCTGATATCCTGGATCGATTCATGTTAGTCGACCCCAAAATCTTTTGAGAATAAGGCTTGAATGTTGTTGTTGTATCTGATTCATATTCTGCAACATCCTTTATAATTTCCCCATCAAGTTTCTTTATTCACAAGCCTAAGATGCGTCTATGAAGAAGAAGAAGAAGAAGATTTACTGTGTTTATCCATTGAGTGCTGCTTTCAAAGCTAAGCAAGTAGTGTGAGTAGAACAGCACACAAGAGAGTTAAAGTCATCACGTAGAAGGTTTAACGTAGGATTTAACCTTGAGGGTTTAGCGTAGGATTTAACTTTGAAGGGTTTAACGTAGGTTTAACTTATATGGGCTCTATCTTATTGAACATATGGGCTTTATTATTATCTAAAATAAGCTCAAACATATAAAAAATAGGCTGTCCCAGCTCAGGTGATTAAAGCGATCGCTTTATTTCTCTTCAGCGTTTCTGCGCTTCATGCGCAAAAGATGCGCCTCAGTCAGGTACTTGCAAATTTGGGTGGTTAGTATACCGTTAATATTTCACGTTTCGGCGAGTTCCGACTGCCTCAGAAACAAAAACTGATATTTAACATGAAAGTCTAACTGTTTACACGTGTGTGCAACAAAACTGAAGCAATCTGGATGATGTGTTTCCACACTACACAACAGATACTTTTTAAACTTTGAACTTATGCATATAAGTAATTTGCCTGGAAGGATATACAGTTTGAACATTTTTCATCAACCTCGAAGGATGTGTTCAAACAGAATCTCTTGTCAATAGGCATCAGGCATAATGCTATACTACCTTTTCCATTTTAGGTCTTTAACCCCCACCACTTTAGTGTTTTCCAATCCACTAGTAGATAACTGTTGCAGGGATAATTTGAAAAAGCAGATATAACCCAGGGCTTCTGATATATGTTTTTGTCGCAGGCAGCTAGAATTATTGCACAGCTGATTGTGATGGGTTCTGGGATCATGGCAAGAGCATTTGTTCAAGCATATCGCCAAGCACTGGCAAGTAAGCTTCTCTCTTTATTCATCTCTTGTGATATTCTATTCATAGTTTTTTGTATTGATTCTTTTTGGGTTGTGGCCTGTTGGTGCATTGGAAGGGCGGGACGTGGACTTTAACCTAAGACCTCACTTGTGGAGCTCTTAGGTCTTTGATACTAAGGCTCCGTTTGTTTTCTCGAAACTATGTTGTTGTATTTATAACATAATGTTTGACCTAAAAATAGAAAAAACAGCAAGCCATTGTCCTTGGGACTTTGGGAGTTCATAGGATAAAGGTTAGCACTCTGCTTCATGAAAATATTTCTTCGTTCAGTGATAGGAACCCCAAGAATCCAGAACAATTAAACAGAAAGATTAACAATGAAACAATCTGAAAAGTCTTTATTGAAGTGGAAGATTGATTACAGGAGAAAAGTAACAAGGCCGAAGCCCCCAGATGAGCCGAAGCCCCCAAAGAGAGAGAAATAATTCTCAATCTTCCCAGTCCCAAGACCTAAGTTCAAAAAGCCTGCTAATTACTCCCACTTTACATCTATTTATACTAGAGACCATTATTACTAATATTATTATTATTACTTCTAATATTATTCTAATAGGTAGGTCCCTATCAATACTCCCCCCCTAAACATCCACCTTGTCCTCAAGGTGGGTAATATGAGAAAGCCAAAATCTTCTGCTTTCTCTTCCTCTTCCTTGTTCCTCTCCCTTCCCAATATCTTTCAAATTTCAGGATCCTGAACTTCAGGACTTGAGTCTTCTTTCTCACTGCTTCCAGCAACAACAGCAATAGCTCCTCTTCCTTCCCATCATCAATATTAGTCCTGTGTCTTTGATCATGCTGGTACTGATCTTCACCCATCCTCCCTTGCTTATTCTTCCTTTTGCTAATAGCAGGATATAACTCAAATCTTGGAGATTCAGTTGCTTCACTCCTTGAAATTGCAGCATCTATAGTAGCCAACTGAAACCGGTAGTCAGCCATTCCACCCCCATCTGGAGCAATTAAACAGACCCCTGACATTCCTTTAATCTTTGCCATTTCACTCTCAGTCACTCCTACTCCCAACCTTTTTTTGATAAAACAACTCAGAGATGAAACTCTTGAGATACATTGATCACTGCCCACCATCACATAGCAATATCCACCATCATGGTATGCATTCTTACCATTCCAACCACCTGAGTAATAATAAGTAGCCTTTCCTTTTCGAAAATAGGACCAAGAACTCAAGCCAGAAGACAAAGCATTTGGATTCGATATCAAAACATCATAGGTAACAGTTTCATTTGGTTCAGTCTTCTTCCAGCCTTTCATAGCAGGAATTAATTCTTTACTATTCTGCAGCTCCTTGTTTCTATCTTCTGAGATTAGTACTGTATTGGATGCAAACTCCTTTTTGTATCTATCAACTTCTTCCTCTTTTAATTCTTTACCTACCTCCTTTGAAAAGGAAGGTCTACAAGGCTTTAACCTGCAAGTAAACAGATATACTCTTCCAGCTGCAACTCTCTTAACTAAGGAACAAGAAAGGTTATTTTCCAAGTAAAATTTCCATGGTTGATGTCCTAGCAAGAATTCAGATCTATCACCCAACCAAGACATGGCCATTTCCAAATTAAGTATTAATTTCACCTTCCCTTTGGTGTCAATATTTTGTTCCATCAACTTTCCCAATGTCTTCTCATTTAAGAATTCTACTATTCTGATCTCTCCAGATGAAGCCTCAAAATTACACCCTCCCCTGACATCAATCTTTTTCACTTGGTGTGTCATGTCTTCTAGTCCAAGAGTAAGACTTACTTCTTCAATCAAAACATCCTTTGGAGATAAGTTTAAATCTGGTTCCACATTTTCCATTCCTTCTGAATCTTTTTGTGGATTGAGACAAGTTGATGCCAGTTTGACAGGAACAATTCCGGATTGCGATATGGAAACTTCACATCTGGATTTCTTTTTAAATAAACTGGTAGAAGCTATTGAAGCCTGCGAACTGAAGGATGTTGTTTGTGATGACTTTTGCGAACTGAAGGAAGTTCTTCTTGAACTCGATGACTCCTGTTTTGCTGTCATCACTGTCTTCTGCCGGTGTCTAGGTGGAAAATCCTTGATCAAGTCTTCCTTTAGAGCCTCCCAACTATCTTCCCTCTTTTGATACTCCCACCACCATTTAAACCAACCACATGCGGCTTCCCCCATAGCCTCTTCTGCCACGTCCACTTTGAATTTTTCTGCAATAGCTTGAACTCAGAAATATTTTTCCATCTTCTCTATCCATTCGTAGGCTTCATCCTCATAGAATCGAGGTAATTCCTCTTTCTTTGAACTAGCTGACTTCCGAGAATTGACTTTAGACGAATATGCCGCACTCTGATGCGAAGAGCGATGATAAGAGTGATAATCAGAACTCTGCGAAGAGCGAGAAGAGCGATGCGAAGAATCAGTTCGCGAATCTGTCTGCGATCGCGGATGAGGTTTACTGTTCCTCGTTCGGTCGCCAGGTTGTCTGCGATGCCTCCGCTCTTCTAATTCCTCTGGACTCCCTGACTTTCGCGTGTGGCCATGATTAGAGTCGCGATGCGACCTCCGCGAAGTGTGCAATCGATTCTGCGAACAACTTTGAAGTCGGTTCTGCAAATCTGCGAAGCAAGCTTGCATCGCCGCTTCCATCGCGGTTATATTTGTCACCATATTAACTTGCATCTCCTTGGTCTTTCGATTCAGATTTTCAATTCTTTCTTCCATTTGTGGCTTCACGTAGAAATCCTCCGCCATGGTTCAGATGATTCAGATTCTCGGTCTCCAGGAAATAACCTGCTCTGATACCAATGATAGGAACCCCAAGAATCCAGAACAATTAAACAGAAAGATTAACAATGAAACAATCTGAAAAGTCTTTATTGAAGTGGAAGATTGATTACAGGAGAAAAGTAACAAGGTCGAAGCCCCCAGATGAGCCGAAGCCCCGAAAGAGAGAGAAAAAATTCTCAATCTTCCCAGTCCCAAGACCTAAGTCCCAAAAGCCTGCTAATTACTCCCACTTTACATCTATTTATACTAGAGACCCTTATTACTAATATTATTATTATTACTTCTAATATTATTCTAATAGGTAGGTCCCTATCATTCAGACAGAGGAAACCTGAAAACATTTTCTAGAATTATGTTTTCTTAAGTTTGTATGCTACACATGTGTTCCATATGTTCCATGTTTGATATGTTTTGGCAATGGTTCAACTTGAACGATTGAGCCCTTGAATGGATCTACTCTTTCATTGGCCCTTCAATAAATTTGGTGCATATTTTAAAAGGAATGTTGTCCTACCTATATGTTTTGTATAACTAAATATATCGTATTTAACTTGTCTGTAACTTTTCTTGGCAAATTACTTGAAAAATTGATTCCATGTATAAAATATGTAGTATCAAAGCTCTTTTTCAACTGTTTGTTTAAACAGTTCTTTTTTGTGACCAAGGGGTGAAATTTGAGTCATGGTATTTTATTTAGTTGTATCCATTATGTAGATGCTTCAAAAACGGGGGCTGCTCAAGAAGTGGCCCAGAATATCAGAAGAGGAAGCAAAATCATGACAGAAACCGAGGCAAGGCAAATCCTTGGTGTCACGGAAAAATCAACGTGGGAAGAGGTCTTGCAGGTTTATATCCTATTCTTTCTCTTTTTTAACATGTGAGAATTGATCATCTATGTTCGTGTTTTATCTTGACAACTTTTTTTTTGTGTGCCACAACTATTAGATCATTATCGCAATTGAACCCCTGCCTCAACTTTTCAAACCTTTAATGCACGACTATGCATATCTTGTAGCTTTTCGGTCATTTAAATCACTTGTCAGGTCAACTTTCAAAATATTTATTTTATTTTTTTGCTAATCAATGATTACAAGGATAACAAAGTGACAAAAAAATATATTTTGTACAGTTGAATGCTAACAAATGCTAAAAGTCATACCATAACAAAAATGAAATATTCTGTATTGCCCCAATAATGTAGTTTGCAGCTAGGGATAGCAATTGTGACCTATCCAATGGATACTCGCACCGAACCGCTCCAGTCATAACGGGAAAAACCGCATTGACCGGGTAACAGGTACGGGGTATGGAATACTTGTTTTGTTTTTATGGGGAACGAGTCGGTTACGGTTTTATGCATGCCCGCCCCTTACCCGCCCCGGTCATTTGTAGTTATATTTTTATTACATTTTCATCTATTATTTGCCCCACAACTTCTAAAAGATGAGATTCTTCTCTTTCATTGTGTATATATGGATTATAGATGTACTAATTATAGTGTATGAATGAAAGTTCATAATAGATTTTAATAGTCTTGTTTGATTATTATCAGATTTTTTCGTGATTAATTATTTTTCAGATCAAGTACTTTTAGGTTCAAATTAATTTAGTTTGCCTTCTTTCTCATCTTGTAGATATATGAATCTTTAAAGTGCCGTCTGAAATCTAGTGTTGTCTAGGTGATGCCATTTTTCGCCTTTTAAAAAATTATTTTTATATTAAAATATCAATGACTCATTTAATAAAGCGGTTACCCGCGGTTATACCCGTTACCCGTTGGGGCAGTTATGGTTTGCGTAAAAATTACTCATGGGATAATGGGGCGGTTACGGGGCGGGGAAATTGCCCAACGTGGTGGGTACGGTTATATGTAAAACTGTCCCCGATCTCCCCGTTGTCATCCCTATTTGCAGCCCATATTTTATTTTCATTGGACCTGCATAAGAAAGCACCTTAAAGTGGGATGTAAAATCAAATGTTAAGGTATATGGTGAGGTGCAAAGTCTAATGGAAAGACCTGCTGTTGGGTGTGTGTTCACAGAAAATAAAACACCGTATGAAGCAAAGCCAAATGCTTGGATAAAACATGGGGTGCAAACACCAATCTGCTTGTATAACTATCACCATTGTATTCAAACAATGTGTTCTTAAACCAGATGCTCACTCTTTCTGCAGAAATATGATAACTTGTTTGAGAAAAATGCGAAGAGCGGGAGCTTCTATCTTCAATCAAAAGTCCATAGAGCAAAAGAATGTCTACAATCAGTGTACCAAAGTAAACCACCAGAAGCCAATTAGAGAGATTATTTATTATCGCTGATACTTATGGGGTGTGTGGTATAAGATGTGTTTGTTCCATGAGATCATTTAGAATCTTTCTTGGCATTTCTTTTAGCCATGGAAGTGCGCATTTTAGAAATAACAACCAAGTCAGTTCTCAGGGAGAGGGGGAGGGTGAAGTGGAGAGAGATATGTTGTTAGTTTTTGTATACACTACACAGTAATTGATGAAAGGCCTATATAAAGCGAGATGAAATGTGCCCTTTTCCATGGACTGTGCGGAAGACTTTAGGGGCTTAGGGCAAAAATTATAAAAGGGTATTTTATTTTTTGAGAAGAGTGTTATTATTGGATTCATATTCAAAACTTAGGGCTTATGCGTGTGTTAGTATGTATGCATTCACATTCACAATGTATAATAACTAGCGTTACTACCTGTGTATCACACAGGAGAATCAATTTTATACATTAAAGAGAAGTTCATTGATATAAACGTTTGTCATGTTACTCATGTATATACATTAAGGAGAAGTTAATTAATACTCCCTTTGTCCCGCAAAATAGTTCCCGGTTTCCTTTTTGGGTTGTTCCAAAAAATAGTTCACATTTCCCCTTTTGGAAAGTTTTATGTGGCTCACATTCATTTATCTTTTTCTTACTCAACCACAATCACACATTTCTACTTTATTCCTACTTTCTTAAACTCCGATCCAAGTCAATGCGAGAACTATTTTATGGGACCGAGTATACATTTTATACATTAAGGAGAAGTTTATTGATATAAACGTTTACGTACATAGAAGTTTTTTTCATATATTTTGTAGATGAGAAAAATTTTAGATTACAAAAAATATAGGTGTGATTGATATTGATATCTCTATACCTTTGGAACACTCATATATACAACACTCATAATTTCTGTTAATTATCACCATGTATCTTGGTTACCCGGGTCTGTTCCGGGCCTCCCCTTTCATGAACCGAGGCCCGGCCCAGGCCCGAACCGGCCCGAGTCCACCCCTAATTAATATCATCAAATTGGATTTTCAATAACAATCATGAATGGATTCACTGCTTATTTTATACATCAAGGAGGAGTGTATTGATATAAACATATGTCATATAGGGGTGGACTCGGGCCGGGCGGCCCAAACCGGAACCGGCCCGGCCCGGTCACTCTTTGAACCGGTCCGGCCCGGCGGCCTGGCCCATGGGCAGTTCGGGTCGACCCGGACCGGTGGCTACCGGTTCCGGGCTCGGGCCTTCATTTTGGTGAACCGGCCCGCCCGGTCCAGGCCGGATTTAATTTTTTTTTTTTTGATTTTTTTTTTTAAGTTTTTAGGTTGGATTGGGTATTTTGGGCCATTTGAGGTGGTTTGGGGTGATTTGGGGTTGAGGGGGAGGGTAGGGGGTTGATTAGGAAAACCCCAAAAAAAAAATATAGAACCGAACCGGGCCCGGCCCGGCCCGAACCGGACCCGGGGTTACCCGGGCCGGTTCCGGGCCTCCCCTATCTTGAACCGAGGCCCGGCTAGTTCAAGGCCCGAACCGAGTCCACCACTGATGTCATATATATACGTACATAAAGTTTTTGTCATATATTTTGTGGATGAGAAAAATTTTAGATTACAAAAAATATAGGTGTGATTGATATTGATATCTCAGTATCTCTAGGAGAATTGTGGCGGCAATCCATCGAACAATGAGAATGGAATCAGGCTGGTGATCGGTGGCATAAAGGACGTCGTGAACCCATAAGAAGTCCCACTGAAATGGATGAAGGCTTCCGGCGGATGAAGGCGACAAAGTTTCACTTGCTGAGGTGAAGAAAAGTTTCACGTGCAATGAAAGGATAAAGTAAAAAGATGGCTCACTTTTGTGTAGGGGTGGACTCGGGTCAAGCCAACCGGAACCAATCTAATCCCGGTGCGGGCTCGGGCCCCCTAAAATGCGAACCGGCCCGACCGGTCTGGGCCAAATTTTTTTTTTCAATTTTTTTTTTTACTTTCTACCGGGTTGGGCTGGGTGTATTGGGGTTGGGGGTTGGGGTTGGGGGTGGGGGTGAGGGGGGTCGGGGGTTATTTAGAAAATTAAAAGAAATTTAAAAAAAGAAAATTGAACCGGAAACCGGCCCAGAACCGCCGGCTACCCGGACCGGTTCCGGTTCGCTACTTCCCAAACAAAAGCTCGGCCAGTCCCAGGCCCAAACCTGAACCGGCCCAGGTCCACCCCTACTTTTGTGGAAATTTTCTAATGGGTTATATTTTTGGAAATTGAAACGTCTTAAGTCGTACACGGGCCATTATTTCTTGGATATAAAATGGAGGGATGTTCAAGAATTAATGATTAAATATTTTAGACAAAAATGATTAAATGGCACACAGCTAAGACGATGTTGGGTGATCGGTATTTAGTTTGGCAATAGTTCACTACCTTTAGGACATGTTTACTTCACGGGTTACTAAGCGGTGCTTATTAAAAGAAATAATTACATGAATATGACCAAAATAAAGATGGTTTACAAAAATATGATTAGTTACTAGAGTAGTAATGAAATCATAGTAATTCATGTTCAAGTTTTGAACTTAAGTTACTACAACACCACCTTATAGTAATGAATAGTTATATTTATGTAAATATGTTTTATTTTAGTAATATTCTTGTAAAAAACCCTTATTAAAACCCGCTTTAATAAGCGACGCATAAAATAAGCAATGTTGTAAGGTCGTGTTTACTTCACAGGGTTTAAAACACCGTTTAACATTAAAATGTCCGAAATAACCCTATACATATATAGACGCACAAACATTCATGAACACAAGTATATAATATAATATGTGGGGTCACCTCGTACATGAACCTATACCCCTAACCCTTTTACCCCGCCCCTATACCCTCCACCCCCACCCCTACCCTACACCCAATTCCACACCATTGACCCCAACCCTACCCTTACCATGATAGGGGGGTAGGATGGCGGTAGGGTGGTAAGGCTAAGGGTGGGGGTGGGGCCAAGGTAGGGGCAAGTGGTAAGGAGTGGGGTAGGGTCGTGGTCAGGGGTAAGGGTGGGGGAATGGGTAGGGTGGGGTCAGGGTAAGGTAGGGTAGAGTAGGGGTAGGGTAGGGTGGGTTCGGGGTTAAGGTAGGGTGGGTCAGGGTAAGGTAGGGTAAAGGGTAGGGTGGGGTCAGAGGTAAGGTAGGATAGGGGTAGGGTGAGTCGGGGTAAGGTAGGGTAGGGTGGGGTCGGGTTAAGGGGGTAGGGTAGGATTACAATAAGGTGGGGCCGAGGTAGGGGTAGGGTGGGTCGGGGTAAGGTAGGGTAGGGTGGGGTTGGGGTCAGGGTAAGGGGGTAGGATGACGGTAGGGTGGGGCCGGGATTGGGGTGGGCCGAGGTATTGGCAAGTGGTAGGGGATAGGGTAGGATAGGGTAGGGGTAAGGTACGAGGATGTAGGTAGTGGGTAGGGTGGGGTCGGGGTCGAGGTAGTAGGGTTGGGCGAGGTGGGGGTAGCGGGTAGAGGGGTAACAATAGGGTAAATTCGGATATTGAAAAAGCTTAGAGTGCCACTTAATTAATACATGTGGGTGGTATGCTTAGTAAGCGGCACTCTAAGCATCTCTTTTGGTTAGTAAGCGACTTTTTAAGCAACATGCGTGTTTAGTTCATATCTTACTAACCTAACGGTGGTTTTAGCAACGAAGTAAACACCCCCTTAGTCATAATTGATGTTACTTTTCATCTTGTATAACCGTTTATTGTCTTTTGTAAGGCAGCTTACTCCAATTTGCAGTGTGGATGTTTTTTGCCACAATTTAATTATTGATTTCACAAACAAAAAAATACAAAAAATATATCTCACTGACATTTTCGACCCTTCCAGACTACTACATTATTAATCTAGTACTTTTATATCCCACTTTTTCACATTAAGGGTGGACTCGGGCCGGTTCGGGCCCGAGCCCGAACCGCCGGTGGGCGGTTCCGGTTCCAGGCCAAACCGGGCCGGGCCGGGCCTAACCGGTTCTAATTTTTTTTTTTTGGCTCTTCTATTTAACCCCCAACCCCTCCCCCTCAACCCCAAACCACCCCAAACCACCTCAAATGGCCCAAAATACCTAATCCAACCCAAAACTTAAAAAAAATCAAAAAAAGAAAAAAAATAATTAAAAACCAGCCCGAACCGGTCCAGAACCGGCCGGGCCGGTTCACCAAAAACTAGGCCCGAGCCCGAATCGCCCAGCAGCCGGGCCGGGCCAAACAGTAACCGGGCCGGGCCGGTTCCGGGCCGGGCCGCCCGGCCCGAGTCCACCCCTATTTCACATTTTCCTTTTCAGGGTGTCACTTTATAAACTTGAGTTGAGTATTTCACTTTTAGATAAAAGTGTGGCCATAGTCTTTATTTCTTTCTACAGAAATTGTAAACGGGGTCAGACCGTCAGACTGATGGTTTCTATTCAAACAAGTCCCGCTAAACCAAGCATTCAGCTTGGACAGAGCCTTGCTAAAAATTAAAGACCTACTTACCTAAAGAACCGGGGCATAGCTCACCTAGTAGGAAGGGAGAGGTCCTGGGTTCAAACCAAGCAATGACTTGCGATGAAACCTCACTCTCTTTCTCTCAGAGTGAGAACAAAGCCCAATTTACATCCTCCCAGGTAACTGTCTGGTCGTGTATGGGAGGGCCTTCAGAGATAGGGTGTCAACGTTTTTTAAGAACTACTTACCTAAAGCCTCGATGTTTTTCCGGTGTATCCGGGGAAATAAACTTTAAGATCCCCCTGTACCCCCAATTCCCACCCCATGGAAGTCAGCATTTTCTTGACTAATTGCTCGATGTTTTTCCGGTGTATCCGGGGAAATAAACTTTAAGATCCCCCTGTACCCCCAATTCCCACCCCATGGAAGTCAGCATTTTCTTGACTAATTGCGCTTTTAAGATGTTGCCCCATCTATTCTCCTCATATCCCTAACCTACACCCAACCTAATGCTTAGTAGAACACTAACTAATATCCTTCATCTCTATGCTCTTCCGTCGCTGGTCCCCCCCCCCCCCCCCCCAGCTCTCTGACAGGAGTTGAGATAGTAGTGGTTGACATTCCCGGGCAAAGTTTCCCCCCCTGGCTCTCTGACAGGAGTTGAGATAGTAGTAGTTGACATTCCCGGGAATGTTTTTATTTGAGAGTAAAAACATAATCTATATATATCATAAAACTGAATAACTTTGCGGGCTCATCCCACATTCCAATTACGGGCAATTGGGCACCCTCAATTGTTACACAGCATAACCTTTCAATTTACATTTAACTTCATTTTCTTGGGTCAAATATCACAAAAACAGAACAGTTCCACATTGAAACAATGCAATTTTTTCTACAACTCAATCAGTTCTATGTAATCCAATGTTGAGATCAGAGGAGATGGATATCAGTAGAGGCAATGTGGGGTGCCAAACGGCCTTGAAGACACGTTTCTGGTGTGCATTTATGGACTGGGAAGGTTTGTGAGACTTGTACCTTATATCAAATATGTGGATGACAGGGTCCATTGAACCGGATG